TACCAACATTTTTTCCTTTCATTCATTGAACAAACTTTTGAGCGTCTAGTATCGCGCAGTCTCGGGTTTAGGTGAGGGAGGTAACCATGGTGAGCGGTAATGAAGTTCTTACTGCCTCGTCAGCACGGTAGAACTGGTGCTCTGGGGGAGAGGCAGGCGTTACTCAAATAGTCACATGGAAATCTGTCAAGTTTCCAACATCAATAAGAACTATGAAAAAAAAAGTGCTTGTGAAATGAAGGCTGGAATAAGGTCTGTTTTGTGATCTGAGAAGGTGGGATCTCTCAGATTACGGAAGGAGAGGGAAGGAAAGTTGGCAAGAGAGTGAGGCGTTCTAGAGAAAGAGTATCTCCTGCAAAGACCCTGCGTGCATTTAATAAAAGGGAGGTCAGAGTGGCAGGGAATTGGGGGAGGAGAGGATGAACCTCCTCTCCTAAGGGGTAGACTTACAGAGGGGCAGGTTGTGGCCAAAACAGCAAGGATTTTCTTCTGTATCTTGGTAAGACTGGCACGACAGGTGCAGCGTCCTCTTGTGGACGTTTGCAGTGCTGTGGACAATTTCTGATAGGTTAGCTCTGTGTACTGGATGCTTCACCTCCACCCACTCTAGGAGGAAACATTTAGGCAGGCCAGTGAGTGAGAGTGAGATACCATAGGGACAGCCCTGTAACAGAAATTGTTTGCAATATGCGGTATTTTACATTTGTAACACATTCTACCTCCTGACAGGTCATGACTTTCCTGGTGAGAATGTTTAGATGAGATGATCCAGTCCTTGCATCTCCAAAGTTCTGCTTTCTAAGAACGGGTTCTTGGCATGAGAGGGACTGTAGTGTGATTTCTGTTCGTTGTCCTGAGTACAGCTGTCCCCTCCCCAGAGAGGCCATCTTTGACCTTCCTTTCTAAAGATGCCCCCTTCACTCCCCAGCCCCAGTGCTTTCAGCCCCTAAACTATTTTTCTTTCCCCGTCACACGTATCACCATGGAGCACGATCTGGTTCCCCTTATTTTTTGCTCACCTGCTGCACCAGAATGTACGCTTGCCTTTGTTCATGAGGGTAGGACTGTGGCTCTCTTTTCACCGTGCCTGGCATATAGGAAACACTAATTATTAAATGAATCACTGTAGGCATGAAAGGTGAATAAGAATACAAAGCAAAATTTTATATCACAGAGACTTGGTAGATACCTTTAAAAAACAAAAATAAGAGCAGACTGAAATGGCCCAGAGTTTCCTCCTCTAGGCTTTTAGGGTAATGAGGGACCCAGCTGTCAGTCCAGATTCTGCTGGTAATCCCCAAACTCAGTGTGGGGCGTGATGGAGTATGGTTCCCATTCCTCCCAGAATCCCATGAGATAATGATTCTCAAGAAAAGGGTACAGTCAGGGTTCAGGGAATTTTGATTTTCATCTTGAACCTTGAGCAGTTGTATTTCGCTTAGGCCTAGCAGGATTTTCCTGTAGATCTGGGTCTGTTCTTCCTTTGTAATGAGTTTTGGTAAACATTATTCAGGAAATAAAGCACTTAGCTATCATTTATTTATTTATTTATTTATTGTGAGGAAGATCAGCCCTGAGCTAACATCCGTGCTAATCCTCCTCTTTTTGCTGAGGAAGACTGGCTCTGAGCTAACATCTATGGCCAATCCTCCTCCTTTTTTTCCCCAAAGCCCCAGTAGATAGTTATACGTCATAGTTGCACATCCTTCTAGTTGCTGTATGTGGGACGCGGCCTCAGCATGGCCGGAGAAGCAGTGCGTCGGTGTGCGCCCGGGATCCGAACCCAGGCCGCCAGTAGCAGAGCGCGCATACCCAACCGCTAAGCCAGGGGCCGGCACGAGCTATCATTTATTGAAAGGTGACTCCATCCCCAGGTCCTATGCTAGGTGCTCATTTTATCATCCTGGCAAGGTAGGAACCAGCTTCCCCATTTTACAGATGACAAACCTGAGGTGGCTCTGAAGAACTGAGTACTGTACAGTAGTCACCCCTTATCCATGGCCTCACTTTCTGGGGTTTACTTTCCTGCGGTCAACTGCGGTCTGAAAATATTAAATGAGTGAGAGAGAGCACATTCACATAACTTTTATTACATTATATTGTTACAGTTCTATTTTATTGTTAGTTATTGTGGTTGATCTCTTACTGTGCCTAATTTATAAATTAAACTTTATCTTGCTATGTATGTATGTATAGGAAAAGACATGGTATATATAGGGTTCAGTTCTATCCGCAGTTTCAGGTATCCACTGGGGGGTCTTGGAACGTATTTTCCCGTGAATAAGGGGGGCTTCTGTAATTTGCCGAAGGCTCCTGCTCACTTGGATTTGAATCCACTTTACTATTTCTACCACCTGTGCTGCCTCAAATACTACAGAATAACTCCTTCCTCTTGAATTCTTAAGACTTGTGAATGGAAGTAACTACATGTGGCTTCTCTTAAATCAGGAGTTCCTAACTTTTAGGGGTGTGGATCCCTTTAAGAATCTGATGAAAGCTATGAAGACTATTCCAGAAGAATGCACATACAATACACACCATCTTGCATACAATTTCAGGGGGTAAATGGACCTCTCAATGTCCGTGGACCCTCAGTTAAGAATTACCTTCTCCGTGCCAAAATGATGCTTCAGGCAACGTAGATCAGTGAGATTAAAACGGAAGCCACTGCTGTTAGTCATGGAAAGTGCTGACATCTCACTTTTCGATGTAAACAGCACTCCACTGGGTGGCACGTAGTTTAACCCGTGCGTATTTGCCTCACACGCCGATGTTAGCCCTGCAACCCGGGGAGAAAACCACCGTTAAGGAAATGAACTCCAGGGCCAAGTGTGCTGGGGCTGCTGTCTGGTGAGGCTGCGACAGGAAACGCCTGCTTGGGAAAGATAGAAAGCAGGTGCCACATTCCCTGAACAGCTTTTCAGAAACCGGGCGTGTGTGAGTCTGATCGAGCATGGTTTAGATCCAAATCCAGAGACAGTGCGTTAAGCCTCAGATATGTCAGGCAAGCCCTGTGCTAGGTGCTTTCACGGGAATTGCTCCGTTGAACCTCACGGTGACAAATGCATCTGTAAATACATATTCAGGTTTTCAGGGGCTCAGTATTTAAACTGTAGGCAAGCAGGAGCTGTTTAGAATTCTGTTCCCTCTTTGCTTAGGGAATTGATAGCTCTTATGTAGGCAAAACGACTTGAATACCAAGTTATCTGCACGTGGACTTTCTTTGGTTTCTGTCGTGTAGCTCAGTGCTTCCCGTCTTCCGTATTCATAAAAACTAGGCACAAGGTTGAACATTCAAAGCTATATATATCGTGATGTAAAGGAATTTTTCAGGATGTCCTCTGGGTCTCTGATGATGGGCCTGACGCATGTGAAACTGTTAGTTGGATGAAGAGAGCCTGGGCCAGGGGAGGGCTGAGTTCTAGGGGTCTGCCTTTATGTTCTCACCGCTGAGTCCCTTAGTGCCCGAGACAGCAGATAGCCCTTGAAGCTCTGGAGAAGTCAGAGTGGCAACAGACCAGGTGAAAGGATGGGTGGGGTGTGGGTATCGTGAACCTATTGCTGTTATTGGCAAAAGAGCCCAAAATAGTCCTTGTGGAAACTATATCTATCTTTTCCTCCTTTAAATTACAATCAAGTGCTCTTGTTCCTATTTTATAAATGAAGGGAAACTCGAAAGAGAGTCTGGGGGGCCGGCCCTGTGGCTTGGTGGTTAAGTGAGCGCGCTCCACTGCTGGCGACCCGAGTTCGGATCCCGGGCTCCCACCGGCACGCTGCTTCTCCGGCCATGCTGAGGCCGCGTCCCACATACAGCAACTAGAAGGATGTGCAGCTATGACACACAACTATCTACTGGGGCTTTGGGGG